GCACATTTTCCTCATCTGTAGGTGGTGCTGCAAATCATTACTTTCTCTGTCTCTGCCTCCAAGAACAAAAACAAATAAAAAAAAAAAACTCTAAACAATGAATGTGGTTTGGATCAGCTGAGTTTGGTATTTAATTGGACAATGGGGACTGAAATTTCAGGTGGGAATGTCTCCTCAAAATCGTGAATTCAGTTATTGGAATAGCGATGATTCTCTACTCTTTCTCTGGGTGCTTAGGATTTAACAGAAAGAAAGGGACTGGCTTGCTCTATGGGAATTTGAAATCTCCTCCATGGTAATTGGTTTACTTTTCGAGGAAGCTCTCTTCTTTTCATTGCTCAGTAATCTTCAGAATTTTAGCTCGTGAATTGAAAAGAAAATGGTTTCTAGCAATAACTTTGACTGGGGGACCTTTCACAGGAAAATGGTTTTCAACAACTTTGCCTGCGTTTCACTCTCACGGTGGCTGCACCTTCTTTTATAAGTAGGGACTAATAGAATAAATTTATGCTGATTAGATCTGATAGCACAAAGAAAGTGACACACAGTAAATTGATTGTAGTCTCATCACCCACCAAGAGACAAGCTGTTCGAGCTCAATGATGTCTTCACATCATCTTTTCTTTGATGGAATGCCCATTAAATGATTTAAGAACTCAGAATCTATTCGAGTTCCATTCCGGCAAAGACCACCGGTGAGATGACAAAAGTATTTCCTACTAAGAAAACTGGGTATTTTGAGAGAAAATGGCATGAAAAAGAAAATAGAGAAGGTTTAATAGGATATTTTGGTAATTTGTTGATTTCCATCATCTAACTTAACGGCCAAGGCCCTTGGCCCAAGGGATTATTTGTTGTAACTTAAAAGTTCAGGAGGTTTTTTTGTTTCAAATTAAAGTACAAGGGGTTCTTTGTCATTGACCCCACAATACGGGGTCTTTATAATTTACCCTAAAAAGAACGAAAAGACTCTTTTTACTCTTAAATTCTTAATTATTCTTCCAATTTTCAAAATGTACCTCTGTGGAACAATATGACAATCAAAGCCTAATTTAAGCATGGACAATTCCGCTTATAGATAGGGATGGTAATTTTGCAGGAATTTTTAGGTATCTGACCCGTTCCAACCCTAATAGGATTCGTTTATCAAAACCTTATAAGATTTGAGTTTTGACTTTAGGGTATCTAATACCTAATACCCGGGATGCATAAATATGAACCTATTATATTATATATCATGCACAAATTTATAAATCCTCTATAGATGAGATGTGATTAAGAAGATATAGCACGAGTTTGTGGGATCTCAGCTTGTTTTTTTTTTCTTTTTTTGATGCAAGATATATGGTTGGTGGGCCCAAGGTTATGTTATTCATGACCTCTACTAAGACTGGATCTGCTTCTCACACCAATTTTACACGCGCATCCCACCATATTCATTAGGAACATCTCCCATACTTATACTTTATTATTCATGAAAGATGTTTCCAATGCATAATGAGATGTGCTTGTGAAGTCGGTGTGAGACGCCCTGTGTGAGGAGCGAATCCCAATTCATTCTACCACTCAGGCTTTCACATATGTTTTCTGTCTATTCATCAATATAAGAGCTTAACCATTTATATAGTTCATGGTTCAGAATTCTGAAGGAGGGGTTACGGAAGCTCTAATTAGATGTTTATTTGTATAATCTGCTGCATCATAGAGAGGAGGTTTCGGTGACATTTCAGTATCTGTCAGCCTTTTTTAGACTTCTAATCCACAAATCCAAGTGTTTCGATCGATGCTGCTATACCCGCTGCAGTTAAGAAATAATAGATCTTCTTAATTCATTCAAGCTGCCAATCCTTCTTTAAAGTTTTTTCCGTGATTTGAAGTCTCAAAAGAAAAATAATATTTATTATCCAACATCCCTGCCACTATCAATTAGTTTTTTTCTTTTTTGAGTAACTTGTTGAAACCTCATACTCAAAGTCATGGGCTATATGTGTAGTTTCTTTTCTTGAGATTTGAGTTTTTCTATAGGGCAAATCTCTCCTTAAGTTGAAGGAAATTTATTTATTTATTTATAAATTACCTTAAATTATCATCAAGTTTTTTGACAATCCTCTCCCTGCCATTAGCATTCCATCATAATTTGTTTATATGTGACATCATGTGATTTTGTCCTTCATCGTTCTTTAAATTTTCAAAATAAAATATAATAGATTGAAATAAGATTTTTCAAAAAAAAAAAAAAAACAAATATGTGAAAACCAACAACATCAAATGGGTAAGTAAAATCAGTTTCATAATCTTGAAATTTCTTGTTTCCTACTTCCTTAAATTCTTCTCTCTAGTTTATACATAAAAGAAATTATGTATTTTTTTTCCTTTTTTCTATAAAGATCCAGGAAAATAGTAAAATTATTGATCTTCCAAGAATCTCATTTTTATTGAAATTTTGATTTTTCCTATTACCTGACACAGGAAAATAGTGAAATTTTGATTTTTCCAGGAAACAAGAAATTTCCTATTGAAATTTTAATTCTTTATCTAATTGTTCTCTTTGAGCTCCTCAAATTTCTTATTGCCGCGTATATATTTATAATGCATCAAGTAGCAATGTCGGTTTTCAAATTTCAAAATTCCTAAAACTTGCTAGTAGTTTAAGAGGTTTGACCTTTTCTATACGATAGTTTTCCTGAAATCCCCTCCTTTGATCAAAATTACAACTGCAAAATATTTAAATTGCAAAGTACGTATAAACATGCAAGCGGTGAAGCTTCATGAGTGGCCAAGGTTGAAATTGGAGATTTAGAAGGGTTGATATGATTTCGATATTCATTTCTACCAAACAAGAATAAAATTCAAATTAAATAAATAAATAGGGGCAATTATCTAAAAGCCATTGACTAGTTGATCAAGGTTAGTTTTGTATGAAAAAGACAAAAATAGCACATGGTCACTAACATTGGCTTAAACAGGTGGCAATATAAATGTGTCTGATGTGTGGGAGGTCTCTGAAAAAATATGTCTAACTAGACATTTCTAAACTAAAGGCAGTTGGGATTTGATGTGAACACGTGCTTGTAAAATGCACCACATCACCAAAATTCATGAACTCCCCAAAACGAGGTTAAGACCCTTAGTTTGAGGAGTGGGGGGCAATTGATGAAGAAGAATTTGGTCCGGCCTCATGACCGAGAGATATATGGACATGACTTGGCATATTAAGTATTGTCTTAATTTGTTTCATAATTTTTCTCCTATTCTTATTCTTGAGAAGTCCACCTTCCACTGCTTATTAGATGAGAAAAATACTAAATAATCACAGTGAATAGTTGAATGGTATTCATTGGGTTAACCATTAATGGTAAAGGGTAACTTCTTTAGCTATTTTTTTTAATTTTTTTATTTGAATAAAACAATTTATAATTAATACATTATTTTTCTAACTAATTATTGATTAAAATTAGTTTTAGTTGGAATCAACACAAATTACTCAAATTGACATGCATCCAAATTCAGTCAAATGGTTCAATGGTTTAATCTAATCTAGTTCGGATAAGTTGGTTCACTCATACCTAGCTAGAATGAACCTAGATCCAATCAATTGTTCAATGGCCCAATTTGGTCTAATTTGATTCTCTGCCCAATTGTGCCCAACCTAAATAACCCAACAATATAGACTAACCCGATTTAGGACAACCAAATCAAATTGTTAGGGCATCCCAACCCAACTGGGTTTGGACCGATCTGTACCAACTTAACCTGGGTCTAAATGGCATGGTCGGCCCATTTCAATCTAATTTGGGTTGGTCAGCTCGGTCTGAAATATGAACCCATGCCCAACCCAATTTGAACCAGTCCATCTCAAACCAACATGGTTCAGATCTGAATGAACACAGACGACTCAGTTCAATTCAGTTAGGGTCTATCGATCTGCTCCGAATCCAAGCAGCTCAACCACTTTTGATGCAAATATATATATATACGATGAAGTCGGTTGAGCCAGTAACCTGTGACCCAGAGACAAAAATGGTTTAGCCTTTGGGTTGATTTTTAAAACATTGGTCTAAATGACAACCACTATTACTACAAAGCTATAACCAATTTATTTGTAAAAAGAGAATTGTTTTTTAGGTTTAAGTCCCATAAACTAAATTGTTACAAATTAATGGATTGGATGGATTGGATTGGGCCAAAGCAGATTTGGCTTGAACCCAACCCATTTAATTTAATTTAAATGAATTATTAATGGGTTGGCAGGTCAAATAGGTTGGGTTGAAGTTCAACGCAAACCTAACCCAACCGAACCTACCCAATTTCCACCGCTAATAATGAATGTATTTTTAATCGATCCTCGTCGAGTTGCTTTCAGAGCCAATGGCAAGATTGAAAATCAAAATGTATCATCCTTGGAGGTTCTGACGAGAAGTCCTGACTTGCATAGTGTAGTCATGTAGTGAATCGAGTTCCAACTAGATGGTGCCTCCTCCTTATAACTACATAAAGATTAACGTCGATGCAACTATTGGTCCTTCGTCTACTAGTATCGGCTTGGTAATCAGCAATCACTTTGGGAGAAAGAGGACAGATTCAAATCAATTAGGTCCAAACTGATGATATAGCTGACTAAAAAATAGAGCACACTAAAAAGAGAAAGGAGAAAAGAGAAAAGAAAACAATTCTTGGGCTAACAAATTAAACTTTATGAAATTCGTTAGGCTCAGTTTGGAAGGAGTATAAATGCAAATATGTAGAGTGCAAAACCTTGTATTTTGTACATATTTGCATTGTACATATTTGTATTTGTGCTCTTTCCAAACTGAGCCTTCAGAACTTTCCCTTGACATTTTGTTTCTCTTACTTGAGAACTCACTTACTTCGCACATTGCTCTAATATAGTAGAAGCAATGCAATAGGCAAAAACACCAAGGAATCCGGTGCCCAAATTAAAAAGAATTAAGGAGAAATTTACATCCCTACATCTTGTTTTCATTAACTACAGGATTTGGGAGAAAAATACTATTTCAATAGCTAATTTTTATGTGTTTTCTAAAAAATCACATTATGAAAATCAAACATAAAAAAAAACAAGAATAATACAAGGAAACAACTGATAGCATACAACAAAATCAAAAGAATTAAAATACACTGCCTTGTGACTATTACCAGAACTTCTTTAATGCAGTACCTGCCATGAGTTCATAGAAAGAACTAGTAAGAAAGAGAATACTCTCTAATATATAAAACCTGCAATGCTTAGATAAGTAGAAATCTCACCTAACCAAAATTATCAAAACTGTCATTATGCCGAATAGAAGCTTTCGTCATGTACTCAAACAGGAAGTATACCCTAGCCAACTGTATAGTATTCAACTTTACAAAAAATTCAAGTCTGGATGTGCACCCCCAGAAACAGAATGTGCTATACATGCTTTGAACCTTGGTGCTTCTATTTATGTTGCCCTAGTGCCCTTGCTTGCATTTGGTTCTTTCTTGTACACCCTTTACCTTTCGTTGTGGAGGAGCTCTTCTCCATTCCAATTTATTTTCTGGCAGGAACCAAGAAATAAGTTTTGCTCTGCACCATAGATAGATTATTTAGATACATATTATCTTGGTGAGTCAACACTTTATGCTGCAAGCACATATATATCAATTTGAATGAACAATTAACCATTACGGATGATTTTACAGATAACAGTATGAAAATTATACTCATTAAAGGTTTTGGTCTTACTGACATAAAAATGTACTGACCAGAGGATGTTCTCTTTCCAATTTAGTGATATCATTATACTAATTACATAGCTATATATGATAGCCAAAGGTTTAATTACTTTTAGAAACAGTATGAGAAAAATAGCTACGATCACAATATGCTAGAAATGGATAATCATTCTAACTTTCTCGAGGAATTCAGAGGATGTTGAAGCAGTGTAAAACAAAAGAGAAACCACTCTGCTTCTTGAAACAGTGCAAAACAAGAAAAATAGTTGCATTATAGAATAAGAAGTATTATCAAGCCTCATGTGAAAGGAGTCAGGATCTGCTGTGCTAAAGGCTGTTAAACCAAGAAAAATGCATGTTTCATGTCAGACATCAAGTACATATGCCCCACATGGGGTATTATCAATCCCCATGTGAAAGGAGTCAAGATCTGCTAAAGGTTGTTAAACCAAGAAAAATGTCCCATGTCAGCCGGCCATCAAGTATATATGCCCCACAATCACTCCAATCTCTCAACTAGCACGCATAGCTGCATGGGGTGTTATCATTGGTTAAACAACCTTTAATACAACCATCAATTGCAGCTAATTCGGATTCATGTGCAAGAACTTACTTGAAACCCAATAGATTACTCCAGAAAAATGAGTCTAATATCTCATTTTTAAGGCAATCTTGGAAAATACAAAAGAAAAAACAGAAATTAAGAAAACTAATATTTTGATGCTGATCACTTATTATTTTAAGAACTAACCAATTCCCTTAATTGACAATTTTTGGAAGACTTCCCCCATGCCTGACCTCCAAATTTGATCACTTTCTTTAATTGACGTTTTCATCTTCTTCTTGCTTCAGATTAGAGCTCACCTTTAAGGCTTGTTTGGTTTGATAGAAAATAAGAGAGAAACTGAAAGTCAAGGGAAAGCTAATATGGAATTTTGTGAAGTTTCTTAGGAACTTTCAGATAACATTTTGGTTCTCCCTTTTTATCTATCAAACCAAACATAGCCATATTGCCACTTCTGTGACAATTTAAGGGCTTGCACATATTCAAGTTCATATATAAGAAAGAGATATTGTTGTTAAAACACTAGTTAATACCAAGCTCCTAGTAACCAAAAATGAAATTCCAAGCTCTTGAGATTTGAACGTGGATTGTGATTTATATCAGTTCACTTACACTTATAACAACTGCAGGATGATCCTGTTAGTTCCCACTTGCTAAGAAAGCACGCAACTAGTTACTTGCATTTATCTAGATTTCCATACATGGCAGATTCAGTTCTTCAAAAACTGGTGCTTGATCATTTAATAATGAACAAATTCTTGTTTATTTCTAGAAGTAGCTCAAGGAAACAACTTAGAGAATAATACTACTTGCTTAAAAAGAATGGAAGTTAATTAAGAAAGAGGTAACTCTGTTTTTAAAATTAACTCTGTTTCTTCAGAATTCAGTTAGTAAAGCGATTACTCATACTAACTCTGCTCCACAGATATATTTTAATATTATAAACTTGTAGTGGATTTGAAGCTTGTTTGCCATAATAATAAGCAGGTAGAGGAATATATGGATGACATTCTTTTTTTTTTATCTTCTATGTTCATTTGTTAGGCACAATAAATAAAGTATAACAAATAAAAAAGGAATGTGAGGAAAGAAAAAGAATATAAGAAGGCATAGATATCTTATATCCATCAGAAGTATACTCTATAAATAAAAAGCTACAAGTAATTAATAAACAATTATGGTTAGTGGGGCATGAAATAGACATAAGTACAGAAGTCCACAATGACACAAAGATGTATCTAGAAAACATTACCAGTGTTAATTGTTAAAAGCTTAAGATAATTCCCAAAATGTGCACTTTAGAACAGAGAGGTTGAGTTTGTTTGAAGCTTAGCCTTCTTCATTTACAGCAGTACAAAGTGCAAGCTTTCCTATATATACAATTAGTTTTTAGATTAAAGCATTTGAAATTAAAGAATAAAATTTTACAATGCATAAAAAATTCATATCTCGATGATAAACTAAATTACCTCAAACAATATTTGATTGTTCGATATGTTAGCGACTGTTTAATCCTCCAAACAGGGGAACGATTAATTCCAGAACACTGATGCGCTGGATGTGCCAAAAAGATGAATTTGATATCTTATCAGATGGGAGGGAGGGCCTGCCTAGATTGGCGAAAACATCTGAGAATAATATGACATCTGGAAATCTCAAATGCTGTCAAATACAACAAATCTCAAATGAGAAGAGTAAAAAATAGTGAGGATCAGGGGAATAACTGAACTAAAGACAAATAACAACTAAATTTGTAAGATAATGCCTTGTATGCAAAATTTGTCGGGCCAATAAATGCAAATGAGACAAAAAGAATAAGTTCAGTTATAAGTGAAATGATAATTACAAATAAATGGATGCAAACTTTTATCCGGTTCAGATTTACATTACAAATAAAAGCAGAGTTAAAGTGGCAAAAAATAAAGATTGCTTTAAATTATTGACAAAAGTAACAAATGGATTCAACATTATTAACGATTACAAACACTGCCTGCCTACAGAATTAATTTATATTTGCTCTACAAAGAAACAAATGTTTAGAATTCAATACAAAACAGATTACTTGGAATATTCGATCAGTTGGGTTATTGATGATTACCGAAATTGATGTGTATCATAGAAATTGTGCATGCCACTGAAATAGGAGATGTTGGAACGACGGACTTGATAGAAGCTCGATTAGAGCAACCATTACCATACGCTTCTCCATATCTTGCTAAATCATCTCATTGGATTGAACCGTAATCAAGAGGAAGCACAAAGTCTGAAGGGTACTCAATAGATGTGTTTACATTGGGGATGCTAGCCATCTTGGGCCAATTTTTCCCGGTCTTCTTTCTGTACGATTCCTCCAAAAGGGGACAATGATATAACTCTAGCGTCTGAAGCGAGGCAGGTAATCCTTCCCTTGGCAAAGTTGCAAGCTTAGGCGCATCTCGGATTCCCAAATATTCCAAGGAGTTGAGTTTGTGAAACTCGTTGTGTGTTAGGAGGAACTCGAGATGGAGATGATTTAAGAACCAAAGTCTTTTAAGAGAGGCGGGCAACAACCACTCCTCCTCCCTTGCTTTTTCTGGAAATAACACGAGAGCCTTAGAATCACAGATGGCCAAGTCTTCCAGCGACGTGAGTTTGCTCAGACCAATACTATTGGGTAGAGTATCTAGATTATCACCGCATGCTCCTATGCAGAGCCTCTTCAGGTTCATGGGCAGACCCTTTTTTGGAAAAGTAATCAGGCGAGGGCATCCTCTTATTAACAATTCCTCGAGGGATGTCAGGTTGTTTAATTCTTCTGGTAAAGACTCGAGATTGCTGCAACCATGGATGACAATGCTTTTCAACTTCAATGACCCTACATCCTGAAATTGCAGGAGACTAGAACACTCGTAGATTTTCAGTTCTTGGACAAATGTGAGGCTTTGAAGCAACCGAGAACTGGAAGATAATTCCACAAAATTAATATCTGCTCCCATGCGAAGTCGCTTCAGTGAGGTAGGCAACCATTTCTCTTCTCCTCCCATCGCCATAGAAGAAAAGACATTAGGGCATCTGTAGATGGTTAAATCTTCAAGACAAGTTAAATTGTGGAGTCCCCTCAGCCTCGGCAAGGATTCTAGTTTCTGGCAGGAAGCAATAGAAAGTTGTCGTAGATTAGGAGGCAAACTCAACGATATGAGAGTGGGAGCATTGTGGACTTTCAATTCTACAAGATTTGTGAGGTTATGAAGCTCCAACAAGGTCGTCTCAAGATCAGGACAGCCCTCAATTTTCAAATGATGGAGAGAAGCCATGTATTGAATATCCATAAACTTGTTCCCTAGACCACTGCAATTTTCAATCACTAATCTTTCAAGTGATGTGAGAGGCCTAGGATGTAAGAAATCTTGGGCTCCATGAATGCCACAAATCGGAAGGGCAACCAATTCTTGACAATTGTGTACTATCAATGATACCAAGGATGGAAGATGGTCTGGCAATTCTTTCCACTTGGGGCAATTGATCAATTTAAAATTACGAAGAAGAGGAGGGAATCCTTGGGAATCCTTGGTGGTGATAGTGCCAGTGGCAGATGATGATGTTGATAATGAGCCATCATGTGATAAATTTCTATGCCTTGGAGGAGAAGTCAGTTCTTCACAATCCTCTATCAACAATTCTATCAAGGCAGGAAACCGGTAAGAGGGGAATCTCCTCAACTTGGGGCAATTACTAATTTTCAGACGAAGAAGGCGAGGGAAGAATTGTAAACATTTAGTATCTTCTCCTTCTCCTTCTTGGCCATCTATTCCTCCCACTCATCGTTACTGTACAACTCCAATGATTCCAGTAATTGAAATCCCTCCCCACAAAACTCAGGCCCCACGTGCTTTATGTTATGCATGTTCCCAATCGAAAGAGATTTGAGCAAAAGCAGCCTTCCAAGAGGAGGCAGGACACTGACTTGTTTACATCCATCGAGTTCCAGATCTTGTAGGTTGGAAAGCGTCAGAATCCAATCGGGGAACCTTGAACCAGGATAGGATTCGATATATTTCCTCATTGGAAAGCGTCACACATTCAATTATTTCCTCATAATAATCAACCGCTCTGTTTTCATTTCCTGAGTCCTCATCAGTACTCCAACCTAATGTCAACTCCCGAAGGTGTTCCTTGTTTTCGAGATTGGCCTCCTTGGCATCCTCGGCCATAGCTATATTCTCCAGCTTCGAAATGGAAAGATATCCCTTAAGGTGCTTCAGATCCTTCAACTCCCGAATGTTGCTGTTATAGTAGTTGTTGTTTTCCCCAACAACAAAGTCAGTCAGTGTTTGAAGATTAGTCAATCTTCCAATTCCAGGCGGCATTCCATGTACCTCTGTAGGCCCAAATATATGCCGGAGATTAATTAGGTTGTGTAGGCCTTCAGGTAATCTATTTAATCCCTGAGGACATAGTAAAGTTTGTAAATTGTAGAGACTACAAATCGACTCCGGTAACCATGTAATTCTAGTTCCATGCAAGCTCAAATATCGTAGCAGTTTCAAGTTACCAATGGCATCTGACATCTCGTGTAGTTACAATAACTTTGCTTCCTTCTTTCCCAAATTTGAAAGGGGCCTGCAGTTTATCCCAATGGCCTATCTCCAAATTCCACACATCGTCTAAAACCAGTAAAAATCTCTTTCCGTGTAGACTTTGCTTAAGTTTATCCTGAATTGGATCAAGATGTTTAAGGTCACAATGTTCCTTGGTGGCCGACTCCAGAATAGCTTTTGTTATGCTCCCAACATCCACTTCTTCAGACACACAGGCCCATGCTTTGAGCTCAAAGTGATCCTCAACTTCCTTATTTTTGTATAAAAGCTGAGCAAGAGTTGTCTTGCCAAGCCCACCCATTCCCACAATTGGGATTACCTCAAACACACTTCCCCCACTCCGCCCATCTAATGACAGCAACTCATCCATAATCTTCTTCTTATCATCCTCACGACCATAAACACCCGATTCATCATTGTGTCTTTTTCACTAGTAATTGGCATCCCGACCATAAGCTCTTTCAAACCCAGCCCATCTATCCTTCCAACAAGTTTCTCAAATTTTTTAGAGATCCCCTTAATACTAGATGCCAAGCCGTGATGATCGAAGATATTCTTTATCTTCTTCTTCTTTTCTGATAAAATATTTGTGACCTCAGTTCTTTCGCACCTCTCTCTACTTCTAAGAAAATCCTAGAGTTTCTTTCTTCCCATAATGACCAGCATACTACAGCCCTCAAACATCACCACATAGTCCTTTCCCTTTTCTTACGCCACCTGAAAAAAGATGGAGAGAAAAGACTTTGCAAGTTTGATGGAGGGTTCCAACTACACCCAAAGAGGGAGAAAGCCCACTCCCAAATTGACTTTGCGAATTGCCAAGACACCAGTAGGTGAAAACCAGTCTCCCCATCAGCTTTGCAAAGAACACACCAATGAGGTGACAAGCAAGTATTGGGTCTCTTCTTTTGGAGTAGATCACTAGTGTTGAATCCTTCTAGATAGGCTTCCCAACAAAAACAGCCAACCCTAGGAGGAATTGGTCTGCACCAAACCTCATTAATAGGGAAAGGGAGGGCTACAAGACTAGTGGACTGGCATAAGACTTTGAAGAAAGAAACACAAGAGAATGAGATAGTGGGTGTAGGGGTCCAGATTCTAGAATCCATCTTAGTAGGGTCTAAGAAAATATTATCAAGAATTCAAGGAGGCTCGAAATACTGTCAAGGTCTGAGTCCCTCACAGCCCTTCTTAGACCCAAGTTCCACCCAAACCCAAAACTGGAAGAGGAGGGAGTAATGAAAGAAGAAAGACCGCCGCTTACATTGGTTTAAAAGGCTGGTGTGGCGGTCTATTATAATACCTTTGGCGGATTTTATAGTCAAACCGGAATTAAACTGGTCTAAATTTCAATTCGACGGACCAAACGCGGGGAGGTAAAAATTTTCTACTTCTCCCGCGCGAAGGCTCCTTTTGTTCGACAAGACAAAGGCTCTCATGTCAAATAGAAGGACCTTGTAGAGGTCCTTGCCGAACACAAGGTTCTCATTCTAGATAACCTTGCAGAGAATTTTTGAAGAAGATAGGAGGTTCACGAGCAAGATAAATTAGAGAAGAATATGAAGCCATTCAGCCCAATCTCTTTACACAATAGATGATCCCGTGAAGGAATCCTACAGTGGTCCAAGGAATATGAAGCCATGGACTGATGGTTCTGATGTAGAGTTTAAGATAACCAAGAGAAATGGAAAATATGCACAGTATCATATGTATTGTTTCATTAATAATACACCATGAACAGAAAATATATATATATATATATATATATATATATATATATATA